GGGAGACTAGGGGACACTGAGACACTAGGGGACACTGAAACACTAGGGGACACTGGGAGACCTGGGGACACTGAGACACTAGGGGACACTGTGAGACATGGGGACGCTGAGACACATTGGGACACTGTGAGACATAGGGACATTAGGAGACACATTGGGACATGGAGACACTAGGGACACAGTGTCTCCATGTCTCCCAGTGTCCCCATATCTCCCAGCCAGTGTCCCTTGTGTCTCAGTGTCCCCATGGCTCCCAGTGTCCCCTAGTCTCCCATTGGCTGTGTCCCCATGTCTCTCAGTGTCCGTAGTGTCTCAGTGTACCCATGGCTCCCAGTGTAACCATGTCTCCCAGTGTTCACATGTCTCCCAGCCAGTGTCCCTAGTGTCTCAGTGTCCCAAAATGTATCAGTGTCCACATGTATCCCAGTGTCTGTGTCCCCATTTCTCTGTTTCTCTAGCGTCTGTGTCCCCATGTCTCCCTGTGTCCCTAAATGTCTCAGTGACCCCATGTCTCCCAGTGTCTCCATGTCTCCCAGTGTCCCAGTGCCCCCATGTCTCCCAGTGTCCCCAAGTGTCTCAGTGTCCCAGTGTCTCTCAGCGTCCCCATGTCTCACTGTGTCCCCATGTCTCTCAGTGTCCCCTAGTATCCTAGTGACAAGGGACACACTGAGACATGGGGACACTGAGACACTGGGAGGCTAGGGGACTGGGTGACATGGGGACACTGGCACTGATACATTGGGACACTGATGCCATGCTGGCCTTCCAATTCTTTGGACAGACATGCCCACTTTTTTGGGCATGTTCGCCCCTTTTCGCAGTTCTGGTCACGTGATTCGCGTCAGTGGCCCACCACCCTGCCCATTGACTTCCGGCTTCACTGGACACTGCTGTTAGGGGGTATGGATTTACTTGAAAGATGAAAGCATAAATTAGAAAGAGAATATGTGTTTTCTTATGGCTGCATCCTTTGAGTTTCCCTCCAACACCATCTCCATCAGATACATGATGCTTGGGAGGTATGACGGTTTTAGTGTTTTTGGTCGATAAGATTCTGTAATTAGGCCCCATCATAATTGTCAGCACCAGGCCCAATAGGCTCTTATTTATTTATTGTTGTTTGTATTAATTATTATAGCTCATAATATAAGTTTTAAAAATGAGCAGCACAGGTATCATGGTTAAATCTGAATTTATTTATTTTTTTAATCGTTATGTTATCTGAATTAGGATAAACAAGTATCATTTTATGTACTTTCAGAAGTTGTACATAAAAGTAAAAACATTTATATTTCTTCAAACCAGCCTGTTTTTGTATATTTCATTTATTTTATAGTCAGAATTACAGAGACATGTGATTTTCTATCATGTACAATTTTAAAGGACCACTATAGGCACCCAGACCACTTCAGCTCAATGAAGTGGTCTGGTTGCCAGGTCCATCTAGGGTTAACACTGTAGCTGTAAACATAGCTGTTTCAGAGCTATGCCTATGCCTATGCTATGGATAATAAAACCTCTAGTGGCTGTCTCATTGACAGCCGCTAGAGGCACTTCCGCGCTGACATCCACAGGAAAGCATTGAGAAATGCTTTCCTTTGGACTGACTGAATGGATGTGCGGCTCTTGCGGAGCATGCAAATTCGGCGGATGACGTCGTAAGAGGGAGGAGAGTCGCTGGCGAAAGGTAAGCGTTTAACCCCATAACCCCTCTTGAGCCCGGCGGGAGGGGTCCATGAGGGTGGGGGGATTTATTAACACTATAGTGCCAGGAAAACAAGTGGTCCTTTGAAGGAAAACCCATACACCATACCCAGTACAGCTTGCTTTCAATCTCTCTATATAAGACTCTCAATCCTAGGTCGACTGAATATTCCTTTTATTCAATACCCTTTGGTTCATACTCTCGATTAGATTTGTTTTTTTCAATGGAAAACTGGATTGTAAAATATCTAATACCATGTGGTAGGATCATGCTCCTATATTTTCAAATATAGAAATTGCAATAAGTCGAATTTCAAGTGAATGGAGATTAAATGAATCATTAATAAAACAAGATCATAATAAAGAAGAAATAATAAAATAGATTAAAAACTACTTTAATGAAAATGACGATAAATATACATCAAAAAGAATTGTATGGTGGACCTTTAAGGCGATAATAAAAGACCACTTAATAAAAATAGCAGCTTATGAAAAAAAGAGCAGATTAACTTATCAACAGCTACATATAAAATTGGCCCAGCTGGAAAATCAGAATAGAGACAATCCTTTACATTCAGCATATATAGAAACATCTAAAGTTAAAGGACCACTCTAGGCACCCAGACCACTTCATCTTAATAAAGTGGTCTGGGTGCCAGGTCCTTCTAGGGTTAACCCATTTTTTTATAAACATAGCATTTTCAGAGAAACTGCTATGTTTATTAATGGGTTAAGCCTTCCCCTATTTCCCCTATTTGTCTCATTGACAGCCGCTAGAGACGCTTGCGTGCTTCTCACTGTGAAAATCACAGTGAGAGCACGCAAGCATCCATAGGAAAGCATTGATAATGCTTTCCTATGCGATCGGCTGAATGCGAGCGCAGCTCTTGCCGCGCGTGTGCATTCAGCCGACGGGGCGGATCGGAGGAGGAGAGAAGGAGGAGAGCTCCCCGCCCAGCGCTGGAAAAAGGTACATTTTTACCCCTTTCTCCCTTCCAGAGCCGGGTGGGAGCACCCTCAGGGCACTATAGTGCCAGGAAAACGAGTATGTTTTCCTGGCACTAGAGTGGTCCTTTAAAACATTGATTGTAATTAAAGAGATTGAAAGCAAGCTTTAGTGGGTATGGTATATGGGTATTCCTTTAAGATTGTACATGATAGAAAATCACATTTCTCTGTAATTCTGACTATACAATACATGAAATATACAATAACAGGCTGATTTGAAGAAATATAAATGTTTTTACTTTTATGAATAACTTCTGAAAATACAAAGAAAGTACATAAAATGATACTTGTTTATCCTAATTCAGATAACATACAGATAAAAAAAAAATCTGATTTGACCATGATACCTGTGCTGGTAGGTTCATTTTTTAAAATTATATTATGAGCAAGAAGATATAAGAATTAATATAAACAACAATAAATACACATATATATATATATATATATATATATATATATATATATATAGCATTCACCAAAGGCCTATGATGCCACAAATATCACTCTTAAAGTATAAATACTATATACAATACTTTATACACTATATATAGAAGACAACTACGTATATAAAAAAAAAGCATGAACACAACGTGTATTGAAAAAAAAAAAACATGAAACAGAAGATTTAAAATGAAAAGGACCAGAATCTTTAGAGTATAGAGGAGTTGTCCACAAAACATAATGGGTTTAAGTAATAAATTGACAAAAAAACTACTATTCAGTGAGATAGAATAATCTGTCAAAAAGTATTAGTATGCATTTATATATAATACTATTTAGCAGAAATGTAAATAAACAAAGCACTGCTAGAATCACATTATACCTGAGTGGAATTTGGAAGTGCATCAGGTTTTATTTGCAACAATTGATGATCTAGTTATACGATTTTAATCTTAAATTCGATTATTTTCAAAAGTAGAGAGATTTGGTCTTTCTTGTTTTGAATCAGAAACAGCCTCCTCAAACTAAATGACTTGTTCTGATGAAAAGCCAGGATTAACAGAGCAGTTTTAAAGATATGAAGATGAAGCCGTTTGTTCCAATCGATATGGTTAACAAAAAAAATTGTTCTAGGGTGAAAACTGAACTTCTGTTCACCATTTATATATGTTAGAAAACCAAAAGAGAATGCACGAAGGCCTCTAGTGCACAAAATAATTCAGGAGGGAACAATGTCTGTTATTATTGAAGAAAATTCATTTGCATATTTTTTTTTTTTTTTACTTTAAGTGTCACTTTTCTGGAGTTTGTACCATTGAACAAAACAATGAAAATCAACTTTAACTTGTTACATAGTTAAATAGTTACATAGCTGAAAAGAGACTTGCGTCCATCAATTTTAGCCTTCCTCGCATTTATTTTATGCTGTTGATCCAAAAGAAGGCAAAAAAACCCAGTTTGAAGCACAATTTTGCAACAAGCTAGGAAAAAAGATTCCTTCTTGACCCCAGAATGGCAGTCAGATTTATCCTTGGATCAAGCAGTTATTACCCTACATTGAAAGATTATATCCTTGAATATTCTGTTTTTGCAAGTATGCATCTAGTAGCCATTTGAACATCTGTATGGACTCTGATAAAACCACTTCTTCAGGCAGAGAATTCCACATCCTGATTGTTCTTACAGTAAAAAAACCTTTCCTTTGCCTTAGATGAAATCTTCTTTCTTTCAGTCTCAACGCATGACCTCATGTCCTATGTAAAGTCTGGTTTGTGAATAGATGTCCACACAATGTCTTGTATTGGCCCTGAATATATTTGTATAATGTTATCATATTCACTCTCAGGCGACATTTTTCTACACTAAATAGTTCAATTTGTTAACCTTTCTTCATAGCTGATTTGTTCCATTATTTTAAATAATTTTGTAGCTCACCTTTGCACTTTTTCTAGTGCCATAATATCCTTCTCTAGAATAGGTGCCCAAAATTGCACAGCA